TTTCCCCCTCAATTCCAACATAGACAATTTACAAGCTTGACTTTGAGCCAGAAAAAAACAGGAATAGGCAACTAAGCAATTTATAAGGTAAGAAAATAGAATCGTAAAATGACTTCGTAGTTATTTCGTTTATTGTTTAACGAAAAATGATGTAATTGTACCAAATGTTGTATGCCACGTGTACAGAATTACAAAAGATACACAGAAATACACAATGGAGCAAAAGAGACTTTAGTCAATAATTCACCTGGCAAACTACCAAGTTATACAATATATTGGATGGCATACTTACACACTGCTTACTGTTGTTTGAATTACGTCAACTCTAAGTGAAGTGTATTAGTAAACTACACAAAAATTGTTCTTAAAAAAAATTAACATGATTTAGGACTGCTCTTTGTGCCAAGTTGCTGTCTTTTTGCTCTCTATAATAGCAACCATGTAGAATACAACAGTTGGGAAGAAAAAAAAACTGGAACTCAACCTTCACATTCCAGTGTGCTAAAGAGACATTCCTGTATCGGGGATACTGAGCATGATTATATGTCAACTATTTAGGTCTAATTTCAGAAAAAAAAATTAAATTTATGCAGGTAGAGTAAATACTAAGCTGATCATTGCATAATGAGGGAAATCACAAATTGTCATCAAAAGAAATGCCAAATATTTAATCAAGAATCAATTTCCCTTGCTGAATTTCTATAGACCTATATTATCAATTACTGTTATTTTCTAATAATAAAAAAATTGCAAAACACACAAAAAAAAGTGCACAAAAATTGAAAGTGTACAGCTAAATACACCAGCAGTTAGATTTTCAAAAACATTTCCATGTATTGATATATTCATTATATAGCATAATCAATGCATTCTCTAAGCAGTACATTAAAATATGCTTAATATGTTAATCATGAGTAAAGAGATAAAAAAATCAAAATTAAATGTAACAAATGAGATAAGATAATAATATCACTGACAATATTGAACTTTTTTTACTTTTTCTTTTAATCTCATTTCAAGCAAAATAAAAAAATGTTGCAATATGCAATAATGAAAAAAATATTGTAGTTTTCTCAATTTAAAATACATAGATCTATTAGCATAAAAATATTTACATATAAATAGTATCCTCTTGAGAAGTTTCTGACATCCTTATCTTTAACATTTGATGTAAGAATATTTATATTAAATATTTGATAGGAAATGTTTTCTACTGTAAACTTTTTTTCTGAGAAGGAAAACATTCCTTACCCACAGAATTCTATATATTCATTTCTGTCAGCAAGGACACTGCCATTAGACATATAATGCCAAATTTACAAATTAGCGGCACAAAGAAAAATATTAAATTTCCTTCAAAAATTATGCAAATATCTCAACCTCAAATTATGAGTCAGTGCCCTTTTTAAAATATATTCTTTAAACAGTCAAGGACTAATATTTAAGAGTGACTATATTTTCCCTTTATTTTATGTAGAGGTTCTGGTAGCATTTTGTATGTAAGTTTTTCAAAATTTCATTAAAAAATTTCACTAAGTCTCTATTAGCTTCCAAAAATATAGCACTTCCAAAATATAGTTCCTAAACATTGTGAAATAGGAATAATATTACAGAACTGCCTTATCAAAAAATGTATCCATTGAAAGTAAAATAAAAAAGATTTCTTTGAATAAGTAGCTTTATCTAAACCTATCATTCATTTATTCTGAAATATTGATGAATACCAAGAGACACTTTTTCACAAAATGAATAAGACTCAATTCACAATAATTATTCATAATGTGCGCTTCATATATAAGTCGAACAATTATCTAATATATATTAACTAGCAATGTTTTAAACTTTTTATGATGTGCTGGGAGATAAATTTAACCACAAAAAGAGGGTACAAAAAAGTGAGATTTTTCAAATTCATGAATTCAAATAATTCTAAAATTTTAGAAGTTGGTTTTTATGCTGCTGCTTTTTCATGGCAAATTTCAGCAAAACCTTTACAGAAGAGCAGAAATATACATGCAGTTTGAAACATTTTGATTTGCAATTTGAAAAAATTTTGAGGAAGAAACAAAGAAATTTCAGTTTGATATTTATGCTTATTATGAAAGATAGATACAAATAAAATGCAGTCAATGAAAAGGCTTTCTATGTAATATGCAACAATTTAGAAAGAGCATATCATGTGGTAATTCTGGATTGGTAAATTTTTAATATTTTGTATGAGAATGACCATAAAGAATTGTAGTCTGCATCTATGGCAGTAAAAAAATTACCAAATATTGAGACAAATTTTTCTGCTTTCTCTCTCTCTCTCTCTAAATTTAAATGTTAGAAAATTAACCAAGCATGATCACCAAATGTTTACAGTCACTCTCTTATGTAATTTTTACTGCTACAATGATCCTTTTTATCTCCTATTTAAAACTTTAAAAAACATTTTAGTTGTATTTTGAAATCATATGTCATCTACATTGTACGGGGTAAAGACAACTCAAAATTGTTTTGGTGTAAATAACTGTTTGCACATCAAAAATTTCATGAGTCTTTAGAATCTCATTTATGAAGAAATTTTGTTGTTTTGTTCAGAAATAACATGTTTTGGTTAAAATAATATTGCTCTTACACAAAATGATGTCAGGACCTCAACATAAAATAAATACAATTTTTTTGACTCAGTTTAAGATACCAGTATGGTCATAGTTTAAGTTGTTGTAAACCATCAGTTTAAACTCATAAATTACCTACAGTACTTAATGAGGTATCAAAAGAGTCAAAATGGAATGAATCTTCAAACTAGTTGCAACAAAATCCACAGATATATTAAGTCTTGCATAAATGACATTCCTGCGAATGGTACCAAGGAGAAAACTTCCAAGATGGAGTCTGTACAATACCTGGCCACAGGGATACTGTGACAGTTTGGTTGGAGGGCAATCTTATATACTGGTGTGAAAACATGCAAAAAGCCAAAGTGCACTGATCTGTGGTCATAATCCATGAACCTGGTGGTCAAATATGTTTCAAGGCCCTTGACTGGCATAATTGTCATGCAGCTGCACCTTGGAGTCAACAGAACATGTCCAAGTACAAGTTGTGGTTTTCTTTTTAATACTGGTCGGAACCAGAGGAAACACTTTTCTTCTGAGTGTAAGTCAACAATCATTAAGATTAAAACTGAAAAATCAAAACAAACAAATCTTTTTCCAAATATTAGTTGCAAAACGGAGAATGGAACCAGTCATTTCTGAACTTCAGAGGAATGTTGGGGAATTTTCGTGGCGACATGGCCCCATTTGGTTCTATTCATATTGCTCAGTTTTGGTTGATGGAATAAAAGGGTAGTGATATCAGAAGCTATTTGATGTCTGCCACACAGTCTTGGTCCTAGAAACCAGTCCATACCCAGTCAACACTTGCTCTGACCTACTTCTTCAAATTAAAGTGGGAAAAGAAAGTCGGCCATGTTAGAACTGACAGACAATGGCCACCATCAATGTCCTGTTTTCCCCCCACATTTTTAAAGCAAAATCTCAACTTTCAAGTATTGTTTTGCTGTAAAAATACAGCTAACTGTCATCTAACAAAGGGTACACTTTTTGACCAAGTTTGGGTTTTGAATCTATTGGTGTTTAGCAGACAAAACACTGCAAATTTACACAAAATGAGAATGATGACACACACAAACACACACACACACTGTTTATAAGTTGGTAAAAAAGTATTTTTCACTTAGATATTATTCGTAATCACTTTAAGGTGTAACTTAAGATTAATCTAACAGCTCTTTGATACAAATGGCAGCTAAGTAGCTATAGATCAGTGGTGTGGTATGTGAGGTAACCTGTGTGGTATCAAAATTGGCAATTTGGCATTTGGTGGTAAGTTGTCTCTTTTAACAACTTACATGTGCTGTGGCTCATCAAGACTCCTGTATCTATCATTCTATGGTTAACACTGTGTGTATCATACACAAGCAAAGAACTTTCTTAGGAAACAAACCCGACTAATACATGATGGTATATCAGCATTACCACAGCTTAGTGATAGAGCTTATACATACTCTTTTTGGTGTTTGCACACTTTCCTACTTTTTAAATGTATAATGATGACTTGTTTTCTTTAATTGTAAAAGATATGACCTTTAAAACTGCTTTTTTTTTAAATATAAAATAAGACATTTGTATTTAGGTTAGTTTATACTCATTACAATAAAATTCAAATATGAAAAATGATTAGGATGACAACAATTTGAAGTAGAAATTGTTGAAAACTTTTCAATTGAAATAAAATCAGACAGTTTGAGACAATATCTGTATCGAATAAACCTTGATATCCTGCATGTATCTTTAATAAATAATGTCCCCAGCTTTAAAAACACCGAGGTGGTTTCTAGAACTGCCTCAAAAGTTAATCTTCCAGAAAACACCCCAGACCCACAGATAGAGACAAATGCAATATTTCATAAAATTATAATGTCCTTTTTACTCGCTGTCGCCAAGTATCTTGATGCAAGCTGGTGTCACTTCCTGAACAAATTTCATCTAATAATCTAGATCTTATCTCCATCTCCGTGCCTCATTCCAAGGTGTGTTCATGAACCAGATAGTATCTTAGACAATGGAGGTTTGACAAAAAAGTATGTCCAATTACATGACCTAAATCATTATTAAAGAGAAAATAATGTATGCAAATCATAGTTTTCTAAGGTGTGCTGGTGCAAGGTTATTTATTTCTATTGCTGTATTTTTCCCTCAATGTGGTTACTCAGTCAGGTTTGTTGACCACACACACTGGGGCCACTTCACTCTAACACTGATGAAGGTAGAGATTACAATCATCATAAAACTACATGGAAAGACATCCTCAAACTTAGACTTGTCCTGCAAAAAGCTTTATTCCAAGACTCACTAGTGTGGGTGTGACTTCTGTTATGATACAGACATTTGTATACAAAATGTACAACAGATACAACAGGAATTATAATCAACAACATCGGTTTCCAGGGCCACGCAGGCGGATTCCTAAATTTTGGCCCACTCAGCAGGATGCGGTTGATCAAGGTAAAATCTTTTTTATATACTAATGTTTAACATTTTTTGGGGTGAAATAAATAATCTTGTGCCTAGATTACATTTGCCATGGCTGCTGTATGATGAAATCATATATGATTTTTCGTGCAATTGTTTTTGACATTGTAAGTAGCCACAGGCTATAGCCAGTACATTTACCTTATGTGCGAGTGCCGTGCCATTTCTACGGCTTGACCATGAGGTCAAGTAGGAGAAATTTCTATTTTTCAGTTAAAAAGTTATTGTGGGGAGCCCTCTCCATCTCAGTGCAGTTGTTGTACGCCTGCTTTGCAGCTTCCTTGAAAACTGATATATTGTTGAAGAAGCCCTCTACGATTTTCTTTGTATGCCCGTAGCCAGGGGGGAACTGTATGGAAACTGTGCAATGTTATCTACAATAATATGCTATGGCCTAAAGGCCTACCATTTCAAAAATTTGTCACAAGTTTTGGCTTGACAAAATCGTGGAGGCTACAGAGGCCATTAAATTCCATGTTTTGTATGATTTTGCATGGCCACCATCTGCCTCTGCACGGACACCACACAAAAAAGGATTTACGAGCAGTAAACCAGCACCATACAGACATTGCATGGGAAATGCAATCTAGGCTTTAGTTATTTTGGAGACCTGTAAAAGGCAAAGATCTTGGTTGCATAGCAGGACTTGAGACCAAAACCTGGTTTTAACTCTATAAGGACCCAAAGTTGGGTCATCTTTCAGGGGCGGATTGAGGCTGTCTTCTGGATCTTCCGGAAGACGGTCGGATTTTCAAATTTATATTGATGGGTATCTAATTTCAATTCCAAATAAATATGTATGTAGAAGTCTACTAAAACAGAGTAACTACTAGTTCTCAACATAAGCAATTTTTTTCTCTTTACAAAAAAGGCTCAACCTTTCCTTCAAATGAACAGCTGCTGTTTTATAGGAGTCAAAGAAGAACAAAAATTGTTGGTCTTAACTTTTGGTTGTTAAGTTCTCTGGTGAAACCAGCCCCTGGATGTAATGGTGAACCATTCTCATTGTAAACATGCATGCATCGTGATGTCCAAACATTTCTCTCAGCTAGCACAATCTGCCTCTATATTTAAGATGCCAACAACATTTTTGTTGTTTTGTTTTTATACATTTTTGTCTCGTTTTTATACATTTCTTAGAGTCTGTATTACTGGAGTATCTTACATGTTTTATTGGCGCAAACATTAGATATACTAAATACCATTAAAATAATAAAAATGTTTTTCAAAAAATCAGGTGAGAAAAAAAGGCTTCTGCACCAAGTTCCATTTCTTGAGTTTCTGGGCTATAAAAGTTTCAAAGGTCTGTTACAGTTCTTACCAAATATTTCATTACAATTAACAAAGATTTGATATCAAAGCACAGATGTGTTTCCATTCAATGACATATTGATTTTGAAAGTTTCTTGCAAAGACTTTGGAATTCATGTCATGGAACACCCTTTCCATGCAGTGTCTTATCACTTGGACATATATCTTACAATACCCTTGTGTGATGGAGCCTGCTCTGAGGGATGCATTACAAAATTTATGCTGTAACCAGACCTGTCTCTACATATCCAAACACTGCTTTGGCATTTTTTATTAAGTATCTCCTGGCTGCTGTGTGTTATAACAAACATCATTGGTTGTTGTAAGCCAAAGCAAAATTTCCCAAGGGTTGAAGATGAGGTGAAGATGGCTGTTCAATCACTAAACTGGCATGCAAAGACAGTTGTGTAAGTGACTTGCAATAAATTTTTAAGGGTTAAGTATCCTGGATAGAAAATTTAGTCTAAAACTGATACAAGGCAATTGCTTTCAGGGTGAAGTCACAATAAGACAGTCAGGTCCTTATCACACATTGAAGGTTCAAGACTTTTTGTTTCAAAATGTCAAATGTGACACGGATGTTAAATGTAACATTTATAAGATATATTTAAGATTTAAGATATAAAGATATGAAATTTAACAGATATCTATGATAGCTTCAGTGATTAAAATCAGGATCTTTAGCATCTATTTTTCTTTTGATGTGCACAATATCTACATAAGGCAGCAAAGTTGTCAAACGGAAAGAAAAATTAATGACAAAAGAGATACAAGCAGTGACATTAAAACAGTCTAAACTAATTTGACAATGGTAGTGCAGAAAAAAAGGTTTTTATTGAGGCAATATTAAATAAGATACACTTAGGAACATAATCACCACCAATTTAATTGTGTGCTACTGTTACTGTGGATATTCAGAAAATGAAACAAAACAGTGTTTTAGACCTAGGGAAATTCTAAGTCACATCCTTGAAAATAACAATTTGTGAAGAAGGAAAAAATTCACAAAAAACTTTATGAGTTCAAGATACATTATCCAATCAGGCTAGTTTTCGAATTTAAGATGTATTTTAGTCCTATGAATCATTGCTATATGTTTGAAAATAATAAGTAACATAATTTGCCTTTTATTGTTTATGAACAAAAAATCCAGGAAAGTGCATGGCAACATCTGCGACAACAGATGAATGTGAAGGCTATATATCCAGACACCGAGTCTGTTTGTAAAAAGTGTACATAAAACACACAGAGATATAAAACATTATACATCAAAAATTGAACAAAGATATAGTTTTTACAATTAAGGTAATTGCCCAAATTTGATAACAACAGCAATTATACTAAAATAATGATCATCCTGTGGAAGGAGGTTTGTTCTGACAGTAAAGTAATAGCTTATGTGGCAAATACGTTGGTTAACGCTGTTAATAAATCTAAACCCACATCATCTCCATAGTTTGGCACCTACTGTCAGTCAAAATTACAGGAAAAAGGTACCAAATGGCCAATATATTGACCTCTGGTATTTTCATTTTGTTCATTGTGACTACTGTTATTCAAGGTTTACATACAGGTATGCATCTAGGATGTAGGTATGCTACTGCACAGTGGTTTGATGTTCATTAAACGGCACGTGTGACAAGATGAAAAATCAGCCACCATCAGCACCAAATACAAAGTAACATATCCCTCCCTCAGGACTAGCGAATGTATCAAATCTGCTCTCGATGAACTCAGCAGATATATCACATATTGTTTACCTGTGTTTTATTCTGCATATAGGTAGTACAGAGCTATCTAAAGAACTATTTCTCACAAAGTAACAGGTGCCAGTACTTTATCACTACGTGAAATGCCCAACCAGTCTTTCTCATTCCACGAAAAGGTTTTTGACCCTCATAAAAATTTGAGTTCATGCTGGTTGGAAGGCAAATTAATGGTAATCTTCATGATTTTTTAAAAATAAGTTCTTTGTTAATTTGAATGTGTCTTTTTGGGATTTCTTTATGCATTTTTGCAATAAACATCACAAAAGAAAGGATGAAAAAAGTCAATTTGATGATACTGTATATTCCAGTAAAGGTTGCAAAACAAAACACTGAGGCCATGACTGAAATGTCAAATAATGCAAACAATTTATGCTTTATAAAAAAATCTACTAAAATCCAAGCTCAAGCACTCTGAATATTACTAAAAGAACACTATTTGTGATAAAGAAATTTTCTGAAGAATCAAATACATTTAAAGCTAACATTTCATTATCTCTTTAGCCATCAAATTATTTGAAGAATTAATTCAAAAACTTAGTTGATTACATTTGTACATATATACCGAGTAACAGATTAGATGTTGGTCTCAGGTATCTTTCAATATTGCAGTTATGTGAACAGAAACTGAATTGTCCAAAATGCCAACAACAGATATATACATATCTGCTTTTTATTCTATTTACATATCAATACAGAAATAGAGTTAAAGTATTATCAAATCTATTATACTGCTATCAAAGCAAAACAGGTACACATACATGAGAGTGACTAAACTTGCTTTGAGCAAGAGTTCTTTCAGCACTTTCATACCCAACTTGGACAGTTTCTTATAAAGAATTCATAATAGGTATGGATAGTCATCTGTTTGTAGACACAGGTAAAAAATGAGGTATGCTACTATAGTGGTGGTGGTGGAGGTGGTGGTGGTGTGTGTAGGTGTGTGTATGTGAGTGGGGGGGGGGGGTGTGTGTTACACCTACTTGTATAAGTTTTTAGCATTATTCATGATAAAATTCTTATATATATCACCTAAAATTGTGAACCTTTTTTTTTTTTTTTTTTTTTTTTTTTTTTTTTTTTTTTTACAAAATGAGCCCTTGGTAGGGAAAAGGCGTGGCAGCAACTTTATCATCAAAAGAAAAGCCTAAGGCAAAACCTCTTGAAAAAGCATGAATTTTTCATTTATGTACTTAGCAGCATGTAGCATTGTTTTTTCATCAATTCAAAATGCACCGATTATCTGGCTGCCTATTATCTCACCAACAAAAGAGATATCATATGCATAAATAGTTATTCGGTGCTGGGAAAGCGAATCGTCTGCCAACTTAAACACCAACAATGGGGAGATAATATCAAACATAGATGGCAAGCAATTTGAAAATAATAAGATGATTATAACAAATACTTTTTCTGTATGCCTTAAAAATTAATGCCATTTTAGCTGAGAACAAGTTTTATTTTCTCAAATGTTCTCATAAAGAATGAACTGAATGACTGGAGAATTTTTCCCTAGGTGTACTCGCCTGACTGAAGCATGAAGTAGGATCAAGCCCTCACTGTGGACTCTTTAAAAGAAATCCATCTCCTCACACTTCAGCAGATTATGTAAATTAGGCATTGTTAGGAAAACATCACATTTGATTTATCTGCTCACTTTCAAGAAATCCAAAACTATTCGGTACCTTGCATTTGTGACAAAATGGACCTTTCAGATTTTTTTGCATCACAAACACACCTTTGCATCCACACAGGTGGTGTTTTGCTCAACCTTTGGGTAACCACATTTGAGACCGTTATGGATTGCCTTGTCATCCAGTTAAGGTATCATTAACAAAAACTGGAAACAGAGGGTGGTGGGGCCATTTAGAAATCGTTGACTACTACACCTACAGG